ATATATATATATATATATATATATATACATACACACACACACACACACACACACACACACAAATATATATAAATGAATAAATAAATTGGGATTTATTAAAAGAAAGAACAGCATCTAGCCAGGTCTTTGATTTCAATAATTGTAGATAAAAAATTCAAGAATAACAGTTAAGAATGACATACATACTATATATGCCTCCTTTAGAATAGATTTTACTGAATCTGAAAAAAAGTCCTTTTAGAAAATGAAAAGCCATAACTTCCCACTATCCTGCTACTATAAAAAATGCTGCCAGACGAAGATTTTCCTGAAGATCAGTAGTAACAATGATAAGTACTTTCACTTGCCAAAATCTCTCACAATTCAGCTTCGTTGACTGGCTCCCGGTCCTAGTATTCTAAGAGGGAGAAAAGCTTCTTTTATTTCTCCACATCATGCATATGTATTTTATACCTTTCAAACAACTTTTTTTTTACTTAAAAGACTCCAAACTATAAAAGCAATGTCAAAGGTAATTTACAATACTGTTATGCTTTGGAAACATTCAGTTTATATATTTAGGATTATGGAAAGCTTACCCAGTATGTGATGAGTACACCTTCTGCTCCCATTTGTTGCCAGAAAAAGCAATATGCCTTGTGTTAATTATGACGACATGATCTCCAAGGTCACCTAATTATTTTTTAAAAATATTTCTCAGTTAATAAGATTACCTCTGATCAAAAAATCTGATTGTATAGAGCAGTGTTTCTCAACCTTGGCAACTTTAAGATGTGTGGACTTCAACTCCCAGAATTCTCCAGCAAGCCATGAATTCTGGGAGTTGAAGTCCACACATCTTACAGTTGCTAGGGTATAGAGTGACAATATTAAGTGGCCCCAACAGAGAATGATTCAAATCCTAAACATGGAAGCATTCATTATAATAAAATTCATTTGCAAGTAAATCAAATAGCTAGCAAATAAAGCCACTGCTATCTGCAGTAGGATGTGCAATGTATTGTCCAAAACTATACAACCTTTGAGACACATATATGGGGTTGAATTTTGATCTAAAAAAATCTGAAGATATGAAAGAAAGGTTTCAGTTCACCAACACCGGTACCTGCAAATCATGTTTAGTTTCCTACAGAATATTTATGTATGCTAATGTTCAGCAGGCTTTCCATTAAAAGTAATCCCAAACTTGAATACAGTAGAACCAATAAAACCACACAAAGTTAAAATCATTCAAATACAAAGTTAAACAAAACAATAGTAAAATACTACTGAAAAAGCTCATTAGATGTCCTTGGGAACATTTCAAGAGCCTAAGTGACCAGGTAGATCATTAGTTGATGCCAAAATCCAATTAAATCTGGAGTCCACCTTAATGGGATTGTGCACATATTATTTCACCCCAGATACTCTGTGTGATCTTGCATGAAATCTCAAATGAATATTGAAATCTCCAAATTATTATTTTTAAAATAAAAACAAAATAATTCTGGTGTCAGAAATCTTTTCAGATTCCATTGCTAATAACCATTGTTATATATTCAACAAACCACCTACTCATTTTGTTGTTAAAGTTTAAACCATGGTGTAAAACAATATCTGAAGAACTCACTTTGTTGTTGCAGTTGAGTAAAAAATTGCTGCAAGTCCCCAGATACTTAGTAGATCTAGTTCCAACTTTGTTTATCTTCACCCCCCGCCCCAAATTTAGAACATGAAAATAAATCAATACTGATGTAATAAACTTGTTTCAGTGCAGAGCAAAACTTACTCAGTGCATGGTATATTGGCTTATGCTTTCCCTCCAGTCGGATACTTGCAACGGCCGCAAGCTTTCCGGGTGGCTGCATCCATCCATCTAAAAGGTACCAGGATCGAGCAAATGTGGCCCATTGCTTAAAGAAATAATACATGTGTAATTAAACAAAGTTTGCTAGCACAATAAAGCATCTTTTGTCTCACTTGACAAGATAGTACGAATGATGCTTTGTCAATTAAAAGAGTAAAGCTCTACTCCTGGAAGCTGTTTTCTCGGCTTCCCAGTTTAGCCTACAACCCAAATTTGTGAAGGATTGGGCTACCAGGGTGCAATCCTATACCCTTCCTTAGTAGGTAGTAAGTACACCTGAAATTAGTGGCCCTTAAGTAATACTGCTGTAATAATAATTTAAATGCTGTCTGACTCCCAACAAGAACAGTGGAGGTCTAACAGCCCCCAAAGGATTACCAAAATCCTCACACAACCCAAGTTTTCCTAAATTCAGTCCATATGACTCGTCCATTAGTTAGTCTTTATTATTACTACTTATTTAAATTTATTTGTTGCTCCCAAAGTGATGAGTCATTTATTCCAGCTACATAGTCAAAGTCCAGCTGCCGGGTTTCACTGCTTTAAACCGGTGTTTCCAAACCTCTTAGAGCGGCTGAGGTTGGGAAACACTGCTTTAAGCCGCCCAGAAGCTCCTTCTATTAACTCCAGACTCTCACGTGTCTTTAGAAACCACCCGGCCACCCGTTACTCTTTACCAGACCTTTACTTACACCCCTTAAGCGACAGGCCCAACGCCTCCAAGACGATTCTAGGCGGAGTATCTCGGCGCGGAGGAAGCCTGCCAGGCCGGCCAGCCTACCCTCCCGGCCTTTTCAATCCCTATGGCGCCTCCTTCCACCCCTTCCGAGGCGGGCTTCCTCGGGAGCCTGCCCGGCCGGAGGAAGGCGCCCTTACCTGCGCAGCCTTGGTGAAGCTCGCCATGTTTTCCGCCGCGCGAGCGGAAGCGGTGGGCGCCCGCGACCATAGAGATGAGCGGCGGTCGCGGCGCCTTTAGCGGAAGCGGAAGGGCAGCCGAGGCGGGAAGCCTCGCGAGGGGCGGCGCGGGAGTTTCAAGCGCCGCGGCGGTGGCGATGGACCGGTATCTCCTCTTTCTGAGCTGGCGGGTCCGGCGCGGCGAGACGGGTCCTGGAGGCCTTTCAGGTGCCGTTTCAGGGAAAAGCTTTCGCGCTTAGGGCGGGTGGCTCCCTCTTTCACTCTTACTGGCTTCAGGGACACGTCCGTGGCTTTTTTCGGAAGCGCGTTGCTGCCGCTGGCCCCGTTGGGGATTCGCTCCGCCTGCCTAGCCTGGGATCTCCTGGTGGTCTCCCATCCAAGAACCGCTTAGTTTTTGGAGAAGGTCGGTTAGTGCTGCCAACTAGCCGGACCTGAGGGGTTTGCAGGGCGGCCTCTGGCCCTTCCCTGTTCGATTCCTAGGAACCTGCGTCTGTTTACCTCAGCCTTCTCAGCAGGGCGCCTTCCTAGATGTCTTGGATTGCAGTTACTAGAATGCCAGTTATCCCCTCTCCATCTATAAAACTGGAAAAAAAATAAGTCTATAATCTTACACTGAGAGCAGAGAAAATCAAACCCTTCTGTTCATCTGTATTGCAGTTACTAGTGGATGACTATGGAGGGGTGACTGGAATAATGCTTCTGTGCTGCCTACAGAACTTGAAATACCGCCCCCCCCACTCCCCGCGATCCTAAAATGCTGAGAGGATCGACTATTTGATAGTTAGGAGATCGGTTTTTTCCTACCTGGCTTTTTTTCTTGTTTAAACCAGTAGCCCTGTTCCCACATCACAGTAAACTGAGTCACGGGGGGGGGGGGGTTGTTTTAAGGAAACACTAAAAAAGCATTTATTGACTGAGTCAGCTAATCTTTCTTTTAACCCAAAGCAGACTTAAGTTAAACTAATGTAGTCCCATCAGTCATGTTGTAGGAAGATCTGAGTCCTGCCAATTGTCCCATTTTGCATACTTAGTTCTCCAAGGCAGTGGTCTCCACAGTGGGGTGCATGCACCCTGGAGGGTGTAAGACTATCCCCTGCAGTGCAGGAAGAAAATATTAGAATGTCTATTTTTATAGTTAGCCTTTTTCATTCTTTTATTTCTACTTTGTGGGTATGTTTTACAATGGATGTAATATGTTAGTACGGAAGTAAGTACATGGGTATGATTTATAAAGATGTTAACAAATTACACATATGCCTTGCTGGTGGGAAAGGGGCTCCTGAGGACTTATAGCCTTGCCATTACAGTATATTCCTAGAAAAAATGGGCAGAACTCTAGAAACTCAAAACTGGTGACTCTTGAACCAGGTAGTGTGAGATTGTGTACTGCCAGAGCTATTGATGAAGAGATTTGACTGGGTTATGTATGTTGTGAGGACAGAGCCTATATCTAAATCCTCTTTCCAAGCTAGGGTTCATATTTGAGTGATTAGAACAGTCCTAAATAGCTTTAACATTATTACCATGAAAGCAAATAGGATGAGTTGACCGGGCATATGTACAAACCTGCAGCATGCTCCAAAGAAGAAAATTAATTTTATAATGAGTCATATTAAGATTGAGGCTATAAAAAACACTGGAATGCATGGTGCTGTAGATTTAAGATTAGACTACATAGCCTTGTTTCCATGATTTTTCAATAAACTCAATTATGTGTTTTTCAGGTTTGACAGCTGAAAATATTTTTAACTTGCTAGAAATAAATTGCAATCCCTCTCTAAATGCAACATTTGAAAATTTCCCAGGTAAGTGAAGCCCTTTTAAAGCAAATTACATTTTGCCTAGCATAGTGGGTGAACTCAAACTGTTGAGGACATAGAGAGACTGAATATCTGCAAACTTTGGTGCTTGTGAACTTGCTAGAAATATCTCATTGTTTGCTGTGAAAGGCAGAGTAATCTTACTAGTTTTCGACATTTTCAAGACTCTGTTTCAGATACAGGGTTTTCAGGAACATTTTGGCTCTGCAATTTATGAAATGTCAGTTGGTTATCCTATCTTGTGTTCAGGAATGCAAGGTGGTGTGCGTAGTATTCTCTCTTCCCATTTTATCTCCCCCACCACAACAGCAACTATGTGAAATAAGTTGAACTGAGAGAGTGTGACTGACTCAAAGTCACCCAGTGAGTTTCTGTTGCTAGGGTGGATTGAACCTGAATATCTCTGGTCATGGTCCAACACCTTAACCATTAAATCACTAGCTCTCTTACCACAATGCAGGCAATTGTAGGTGCAGCATACAATACAAAGTCAGAAAATCAAACACCAAAAGAAAAACAACCAGCTAACTTTTTCATGTGTGATGGAGAGGAAAGAAAGCACAGTTAATTACTGAACTTACTTGAAATTGCACTTTGACTTTGCTATCACTATACTGATTTTAAGTTTTTAGAGAAAGAACGGCTTTTATTTCTTGTATGCTATTTTAGTTCTTAAGAGCTACTGAAATCACTGTACTTCATGAAGCGTGTTTTCATGAAGAAAACGAAGCCTCTATTTAACTTTCTAAAATGCATTGTAACATGTATATTACTTCTCCTTTTAGCATGTTCTCTTACTGGGATTCCATATGTGAAAGAATGGTATTTTGCAATTCAGTCAATATGTGGATTTTCCCAGGTGAGTCACTGGAGACGCAGAATTATCCAAAACATTAGTCTGACTTGGTCAACCCTTACAGAATTTTCTTGTAATTGAATAGTTTTGTAGTACTGACTGGGAGGACATCAATTTTGATGAAGAGACAGATCAAAGCAAAAGCTCTATTCGAAGAAAGATTGAAGAATACCTTGATGATCAGAATGTTGAGGAAGAAGATAATAGTTGGGAATCTGTATCACTCATTGAGTAAGTTGATCCACTGGGTCTATTAATATGTTGGAAAATATATCTGAGAATATAGTTTCTGAACATAGAAAAGGGGCTGAATTAGAACTGTGGAAGTTGACACAAATGCTGTCATTCACTTCAGTGTATTGCTCATCTCTTATCAGCTGGGTTCATAGTGCATAGTGATAAGATTTCTGTTGTGCATTTGCTGCTTCCCAGGAACCTATACCTGCCATGAAACGCAATCATTTTGCCCACTACAGAAATGGGATTGGGATATTTACCAGGAAAGGACAAAGTGGACATGGCAGCTTGCCTGAATGCTGTGCGGGGGAGGGGGGAACAGAAAATTAACTGATGCTGAGGTGTCAGGAGAAAAGGTATGTTGATCTGGATAAGATGTACTCTTTGTCTCATTAGCTTGAAGAATGGTTGTAAAAGTGTTTCAGAATGCTGGGCTTTATCCATTTACCATCTGAGAACATTACTCAGGATACAGTTGCTGGGCATTCAGAATGAATCAGCAGATCATTCAAATAGAGATATTTGTATGTGTCAAATTATAAATTGTCTTTCAGTCAGGTGGGCTCTCATGAAAATCACAACTTACATAAGCTGTTTAAAAATACCTTATAAGATGGTGAAGTGAGGCTAATTCTAATGGAACAACCTACTTACATTGTCAGAAAATGGGAGCCACATTTATTTATTTTATCACATATGTATGCTGCCTAATAGTAATGTTCTCTAGGTCTGATAGTATTGATAAAATACTAGCATGTAACAATCATAAACTAATGAATGGCCTCACCATGTAGTTATAAGGAATCATATATTGTCTTCTATTGAATGGTGATTAATATTTCTAACCAGAATCGTTTTAACTGTTGTCTCCCCCCCCGCTGCAAAAAAAAGAGAGAGAAAGAAAGCCAGAGAAATGCAGTATTTTTTTTTTCTGGAAAGTATATAACCTTATTACAAATTATTTTATTAACCAGAAGAAAACTGAATGAATCAAGAAAGTATACTATGTAATCATTGATCATTCACAAGCATGAAAGATATTTAAATCATGTTAGATATGACAGTGTGGGGCTATGGCATGGATGCTCACAGTATTCGTTTTGAATATGCATTGTGTCCGCAGTCTTATAAAAATCTTTACTATAAGTGAACTTTTAATGCTAACACAAGATGGAGCTAGTTAGTCTCTGAAACATACTACTTGCTTTTTTATATGCTATTGTAATCAAACTATTGTAAACCTGGAGTAAGCTGCTACTGAACAGACTGGGGCTTGCTTCTGATGAAAAATACAGTATTTCTGGTTATTATTATTTATTTAAATTTATTGGCCGCCCGACTCCAATGGACTCGGGTTAAATTCTTATTTGCAAAGTGGTAATAGTTCAGCTTGTGACCGAGGCTGTGATGTAGAGGATGAAAGAGAAAAAATGCTGGATCAGACCTAGAGGTTGGATGCTTATCTGCGTGATGCTTGGTCATGTGCAGGACCTGCTTTATGGTCCCTTTTTTGAGGGAGAAATCACATTATTTTCATAAGGTCAGCCATTGGCTTGGCTTGGCTTGGGTCAGGTCAAGATGGACCTTTGAATGCATGGGGGAAAGTAAGTATTCTGCTACTTCCTAAGAAAGAAGAGGTAGAAGGAGAATAGCTGATTTAGCAGGAAATTCTTGATGCTGATAAATTCGCTAGTCAAAACTTTGATGGCAGGTATTTCATTTGAAGTAATTCATTTTTTTCTTTTTTCTATATGCAAATATAATGCTTCACAATTTTGATACTTGAATTGTGTAAAGCACTAAACATTTTAAAGCATTTTATTCTTGAATGAGAGTAATTTTTTTTCCTATTTTTCATTCTTATATTTCAGTCTTTATGAAGAAGCTGCAGAGAGCATACATCTTTTAGCAGATAAACTTCCTGCTCCTGGTAATATGACCATTTTGGAAACAAAGTATTTTTGTGACAAAATCATTTTGCTTTTCAATGGCCTTTGAGGCAGTTAGTCTGACTTCTGCATATAATATGTTCTGGTAAATAGCTTGGCACACAAGGATACCTTACAGGCAATTCTAAATTATATAGCGAAAATCTGGAAGGATGGCCTTTCTAGAAGAAGTTATTTAATAGCATGCAAGTTTGGTAATGTAAAGGAATAAAACATATTCCGTACCAAAGGCAGTGATGCAATTAAATTAACAGTAGAGGAAAGGATTTTGTTTATTTATTTGATTTTTGTCCTGGCTTTGTTTTTGCTCAGTTCAAGACAGTGTATGTATATACCTAATGCTCCCACTTCTGTGTCCCCCACAACAACAACCCTGTGAGGTGGATTGGGCTGAAAGAGAGGGACTGGCCCAGAGTTGCCCAGCCAGCTTCTGTGCCTGAGGGAGGACTAGAACTCAGTCTCCTGGTTTCTAGTCCAGCACCTTAGCCACTACACCAAATTGGCTCTGGGTATATGTATTGTTGAATATGGAGCTGCCCTTGAAGACCACCCAGAAGCATCTGATCCAGAATGGGCAGTGATGGGCATGCCTTGGTATACCCATGTAGCACCTCCGCTTTGCAAGCTGCACTGACTGCAAGTTTGCTCCTGGGTATGATTCAAGGTGCTTGTTGTTACCTATAAAGCCCTGCATGGCATAAGGCCTGGTTGCTTGAGGGAGCACCTATCACCCTAGCATCCGCCCAGCCAATTCAATCTGGTAGGGTTGTCACGCTCCAGGTTCCTTCAGTTAAATGGTGCCATCTATTGGGATCCTGGAAGTGTGCCTTCTTTGTAGCAGTGGCTGACCTTTGGAATGAGGTTCCCCCCGAGGTCCGGATGGCCCCCACTCTGCTGCTGTTTAGTAGAGCCGTGAAGACCTGACTCTTCACCCAGGCCTTTGGCAAGGAGTGAAATGCCCTTGGATTGTGTGGGTTTCTTTCTTTCCTTCTTTTTTATTCCTGTCTGGTTCTTGTCATCTTTGCCATCTTTTATTCTTTATTTTTGTTTCTTATTATATATATATATTTAAATGTTTTTACTTGTGAGCCGCCAGGAGTCACTGTGAGTCAGGCAGCATTTAGATTTAATAAATATGTATTACCAAAAATGGAAAAACAAAACCCAAGAAAGGGATGGAAAAAGGCAAGAATGAGTGAAAATGAATACAATGTAGAGGTACAATATGTGAGGTAGAGTTTGAGATTAGCTAGATGTATATCCATGTGCATGTTAAGTGTTAGCTGTCAACTATAAAGCAGTTATGTTATTGATGTTATAAAGGCAGAGATGACAGGGAAGATTCAGAGTAACTTTAACAGCCATAATCATTTTCTTGAGAGTCTGCAAGTGGGTGTTTGGGAGACGCTGCCAAGGTTTCAGTCAATTTTGATAAATCTTATACTTAAATTATTTGGTGGAAGGTATTCGTTTATTATTCCATTTTGTCTTGTTGTTAAGTACTTTTTGTTAAGTACTTGTTTTGGTGGAAGTCAGCAGGGGACTTGACCAGATAACGGAGAACCAATTCTTCGGTTCCATAGATGGCCTATCTTTCTAAATCCATCCCAGACTGGGCTCTGCAAGGATAATTGTCACTTTTGAGTGTGCTAACAAAGATCTGAAAGACTGAATTGTTCCTCCTTTTTCCTTCCTCTGTCCTCATCAGTCCTGAGACAGGTCATATGAAAATCCCTCTGGGCTTATCGCAACAGTTTTCCTATATTTTAAGCCATGAATTAAGTGGGTCTTACCAGGTCCTGTCAGCCTGATATGTTGTCCCTCCTTTCCAGTAGTTTCCACTGAAGAAAATACCTGCATGGTTGAATCTGCTGCTGAATAAAAGAGGAGTCCAGTGTTCAATTTCCTGCCCCTACAAAAGGCAAATACTGAAATGTCTGTCTTGTTTAACTTCTGTGATAATTACTTCTGCAGGAAAAGCAATAGTCGATGTTCTACTGCAGTCTTCAGAAACAGATGCCCCTCAGTTAAAAGACTGCTTACCTGTCATTGGTGCTCTAAAACACCTAAGAGAATGGCATGCAGCAAAAATCACTATTGTAGCAAACAAAAGCAAAATGTGAGTAGTGTCATTTAAATTCTTCAAATAAGATAATTGACAGAGGATCATTTCGGGATAGTATTTCAGCTTCAAGTGAGATGCTAAAGGCTACAAAGAAGAGACAAAGAAATACATAATATGAGGATAAAAACAAAATTTCAGTTTTAATTTCATTACAGTCAAATTAACTAAATGCCATTAATGTGTCTGTGCATTCCATGATTGGCACTTGTAACCTGAAAAAAATACAGTTTGGCAAAAATCATTCTTAGTGTTGCATCCAAAACTTTGGTGTCCTTGGGGTTTTCCGAGCTTAGTTGTTTTCTTGCAAATGTTTCATTACCCGGCTAGGTAACATCTTCAGTG